TTCTGCCCAGGCTGCCTTGGAACCCAGATCCTCAGATCTCAGCCTCCTGAATAAATAGGATTACAGGCATGAGCCACCAGCGCCCAGCAAATCTTTCATTTTTTTACGTTGACTGTCTCCAGTGGTTTGGCATGGCAATGGAAAGCTAATGATACAGGCTATGTGAAGCAAATGAGCTAAGCTGGAGGAGGGCCCTTGCACTAATGGAGGGTGACTGTATCACCTGAATGAAGACATAGGATCAACTCTGTTTTGTGGTCTTCCCTGGGAGAGGAGTGCACTTAGGGAGGGATCTTGAGCTGGATAACTAACAACTTTATAAATCCTGCTCAGAATGAATGTGATCCTGACAGCTATATATCCTAGAAGTGTCTGAAAAGTTCTCATGGGAGCCGATGAGCGGGCAGAGAGGCTGGGGTAGCAGCATTCAAAGCAAGCCATGCCAAGTATACACATGTACAGTGGACCCCATGGCATGAGGCCAAACCTGCCCTGCTGAAGGTGGGTGTGGCTCACTCTATGGACACCAGCGGCATTGGATGGCTTATCACTCCACACTTAACTCTTCCCTGATATTCCTGTACCCAGCAGCTCCCCATAAAGAAAGTCCAGTTGAATGTGCTGGGGAGTGCTCAATGCCACCATGGTTGAAACCACCTTCCACATGTGAATGTGGTTAGCACCAGCTGTCTATCCTTGGTGGCCAACGATTCTGCCTTGCAGCTACCACTCATAAGGCATTCAAGCAAAACCTCCCTGATAATATGTGGTTTTAATTTTTCATGAGATTCCCCCACCCCCATCAGCAAAGGACTGGCTTCTCATAGCTACCCAAATACTTACATAGGATTTTCTCCTCTTCTTGTCTTTTGCTAGATCCCCACAAATAGATAATTACTAACTCTGGGATTTTGGACACAATTACTCCCTTCCCTGGTGGAAACTCTTGAACAAGTCTTGCTAAGATCCTTGCAAAGACTCTGGGACTTGAGAAGGTTCTGTTTTCTAGGTGTGCCACAAGCATTCAATGTGTATGTGTCTGGTGTGTATGGCAACTCGGGCACAGGTTGTGAGGTCAGGTTTGCGTTGGGAATAACAATTCAGTCTATCACTGGGTGAGCTTAGTTCCATTGTCTACATAAACCAGAGGTTAGAGCTCCACCTCCATCACATCTTCATGTGCAAAAACTGAGGCCATTTGGAAAACAGTCCATAAAAGTTAGTTCCTCCTCCTTCCTTTCTATTTAGGGAAACAAATTTGACAAAAATTTACTCACTGGGGATTTCAGACCGTCTGGCTCAAACCTTCCCTTTTTAAGAATCAACACACAAACTCAAGTGCAGTGCCATAACTAGAAAGAAATTCCTAGAACAGTCTAAATTCTTAGAGGCTGTTAATAAACCATTGGGATTATATGTTTATTTTACTTAGATTGGACTTTTTGATAAAATTGAGTAGGGAGAAAAACAAAATCAAATATACTTCAGGATGTCACCTTCTAAAAATAACTTTTTCCATTAATCTTGAGATGAAAAAGATAATATGTATTTTCTTTTAATAAATCTAGTTCTCCTACTTTTCTCCTTAATCCTGCTCGCATGGAGTTTTTGCCCCTCCTACTCTCAGAATAAGGGCAGATTCTGATAGGAGATGAGATTACTAGTAGGTTCAGCAGAGTTGAGAGAAAAAAATGAGAGGAAAAACTATCAGTCCTCTTACGGATCTGCTGACCCAGCTTTGTTAGCATATTTAGGACAGTGATCACCAGTCTTAGCTTCCTGAAGCCATAAATGTATTCTTTATGTATTAATACATGCATTACTATATTCATTTTGATGAAAACATGCATGTATATATAACTTTTCAGTACTCATGTTTGAACCAAGGGCCTACTTGTTAGGCAAATGTTCTACCACTTAAGCTATGTTCTTGGCCATGGAAAGTATTTTCTTAACAAAACATAGTATCTAAGGAGAGCTAAGCTGTTTGCACTTAACTGGCACTTTTCAGGAGTTTTTTTGTGCATGTGTGCCAGTCCCAGGGCTTAAACTCAGGGCCTGGGCACTGTCCCTGAACTTCTTTTGCTCAAGGCTAGCACTCTAACATGATCCACATTACCTTTTCTGAATAATTTATTGGAGATATGAATCTCACCGACTTTTCTGCCTGGGCTTGGCTTTAAATCATGATCCTCAGACCTCAGCCTCCTGAGTAGCTAGGATTACAGGCATGAGCTAGCAGCACCCAGCTCAAAATTATATTTTTAAAAACATAAGCAATGTATAAAGTCTTCATAATTCAAAAAAGTCCTAAAGGAGATTTGTCAAATTTTTGTAATGATAGGCATTCGTTGATAAGAGATTTAGAAGGACTTTTCTTTTCTTTTGTTGGTCACGGGGCTTGAATTCATGGCTTGGGTGCTATTCCTGAGCCCTTTTTGTTCGGGGGCTAGTGCTCTACTACTTTAAGCCACAGAACCATGTTTGGTTTCCCGGTGGTTGATTGAAGATAAAGAGTCTCACAAACTTTCCTGCCCAACTGGCTTTGAACTGCAATCCTCAGATCTCAGCCTCCTGAGTAGCTGGATTACAGGCATAAGCCACCAACACCCAGATTTGGAACTTTTCTTTCTTGATATCTGTCATTTTCATCATAAAAATTACAGTAGATAACTTTTCTAATCATAAAAAAATACACATTTTATATAAGGAAGCCAACAGAGATACTATGTGGGACCTTTGGGTCTGTGAAATGTCAGGGAATGGGACAACTCAATAGTTGGCCTCAATTTCCCAAAAAGGATTAAGGCTGTCATGTCATCCTCTCCTCCAACTCAAGGGTTCTTCCCCAGATATTGATGTGGCCTGGAAATTACTTTTCCTGGGCACTGATATCGTAGGGCAATCACTCTCCTAGGATATATATTCCCTCATTACTGGGGTCAGAGGACTAGGGGAAATCCAGGTATATTTGGCACTTCCTATGCAAAGGTACTACCTATAAAAAGCTATTTCATAGTTATAAAGCCCTTCATTAAAAGCCCTTCATCAAAGGATCAATTGTCTTATTGTCTTTCCCTTCCCCCTTCTCTTTTCACCTTCTCACATGAGAGAGGGCCTTTTAGGAATATAATTGATTTGGATGAAAGCAAAAATGAGTCGACTAGGCTATCGCTTTATATAAATAAAGTTGCCTCTGCTGCCTGAAGAGTTGACTAGAGAAATATTCTCAGGTGGTCAGAACAGGGAAGGTTCTAGAAACAGAGCACTAGAAAAATCCCACAGTTCTTCACCCTGTGATGTGGCTTGTTTGCTTTATAGGTTTCAAGTATATTTGCTGACATCAGCAGCCCCTCAAAGTTTAAACAAATAATAGTGAAAAGGAAAACAGCCCCTTTCTGCCAGGCAGTCTTATTCTGCCAACTTCTGTGTTCGTTCTAAGTTAATAAACGTCCCAGAACCAGCTCCCCTACCACCCTGGGGGGAAGAAAAGCACAATAATTAAAAAAAAAAAAAAAACACCAGGTCAGCCCATTGCCAGCATAAACCATTCAGACAAGTAGCATTTGTCACAGTCTAATGAGGATTTTACCTCTGCCTCCAAATGAAAGCTATTATTAACCTTTGGGTTTAAGGAATCGAATGGCTGAGGACAGTGGGTTTCTCTGGTCCCTTCCTTATCTAAATCATGCTCAACACCCAATCCAGAGATGTCTTCGGCACCAGACACAACTGAAAAACCATAATTATGCCAAGTAAGGTCTTTTGAAAAACATCAATTTACAGAACAGCCTTTTAATTCTGACTTTACTTCAAAAAAAAAATCTGAAAACACACACGTGTTGTATAATACCACGGCAGGACGTAGCAGGCGTGTTGCTAAAAAAGTTAGGTCAGGAGGGCAGGCTCCTGTTGGCCACTGAGGATCTTGGAAGCAAACAAGCTTCTCCACAAAGCAAGGTCTCTTAGGCTATCTTCACTTGTTGGGTTGAAACTGGAGCCCTTTGCCAGTTATGCCGATAGCAGGCCCCTGCACCTTGCTGGCACCACACACACAACCCATTGTGGATATCTCTGCAGGACAGATTAGAGCCACATTCCTCAGAAGTACAGCCCTCCAGGGGGAATCCAGCCAGCAGGCTCCTTCCATGGAGCCCACAACTCCTACAACTGATAAGTTTTAATTGAAACAACTGGCACAATTACGCTGAGTGCCCACTGGCTCTCTCGCCAGCTAAGGGAGAAGGTGTCACACACCTCCCTTGACTTATGTAGAGCTGTTTGCCAGGCAACAGTAATTCAAGTCCTTAGCTCACTTTAATATACTTTCACTGGTGCCTTTAAGTGCTGTGGTTAATCAACTTGCTCACCTGAGGTATAGGATAGGATTGTTTTCTCTTTTCCTTTTGGGACCTGATCTGGTAAACACTGTCTCAAATTAAGTTTGAACAAAGTTACTGATTTCCAATCAAAGAAAGTCAGACTTGGGTTTGGGTAAAATTCATGAAGGTCATTGTTGGTTTTAACCATGTCGCTCAATTTAACCATCCAACCTGCTACAGAAATCTTTGCTTTCAAGTCTTTGTTTAAACCAGCAGAGCGCTTTAAAACAGCAAATTTAGATGTGCATAAGAAGTTCTGCAACTTCCTTTTATTTTTTTCTGAAATAACAGTGAGTCAACACAGAAACAGTATAAACTAAAGGACAACACACCTGCCTTTTCAGAAACACAGCCCCAAAGGCCCAGATTAAATTTTAACCAGGGATTATGTTTGCCAAGACTTCATATCTCAAAAGGGTTATGTTTGGCTTTTGTAATAATAAAACGTTATTTGGGAAGGGGGGAAAAAAGAATCCCATTTTAACACATTCTCTAGTAGGAGGAAATAAGAATTAGACTTCAAGACAGTTTATTTAGCCTCTGAAAGAATACAAAAGGCAAATGACTTAGCAGATGGGTAATTCCCAAATCTGCAGAATCTCAGTGCCTATGGGTTTGATCAAAGATGTTAAGCAAGGCTGGGACCAACACCAGTGCGTCCTCTTTGGCTAGTTTTAACATGTTTACAGTCACAATTAACATTCAAGGAATTTCCTTTTCATCCAAGTGTTTAAGAGCGCTTTGTGTCTGCCATAAACGACAGTTCTAGCAGCTATCAGTCCTTCCCATATAGAAGAATAGTGAATTCTCCTTAATACTTTTCTCTTGTTCTGAAAATGGGCTTGGACCACGTCGATCTCCCTGGGGTGTTTGTTTTCTAATATAGGAAGGTTCTCACCTCTTCACTTTTTTTTCTTAAAAGAATGCACACCCAGCTTCCTAGTCTCTCGCCCTCTTCCACACTCACCCCGGAGTCAGAACATCACCCAGTCAAGCAGGTGTCCCATACCATTCCCCCATTCCCGGAGGGAACCAGCGCGAGCTCTGCGGGGCGGGCCGGCCGGCCGGGCGGCAGGAGCTCTGGGCCCCCCACCCCAGCCCGATTTCACATCCCTGAGTTGGCCAGACCACTGCGTGCCGTTAGGGAAATGTGTAGGTCTCGTCTCCCTCCCCGTTTTTTCTTACACAAGGGATTCGCACACGGGTACTGAGTCCGAGTCCTGGCTGTGCATTGAGCTGAGCCCTGTATCTGAATCCTCATCATTGCCGGGACAGCTTTTGGCCAGTCCACGGGCCTGGTCCACCCACATGTCCGCGCAGGCGGGAGTCTGGGATTCCCGAGAGGGTCCCGCAGAGTCGGGAGCCCCGTCCTGAACCAGTGTCTGCTCCAAAGTGCGCCAAGTCTGGAGAAGGCCCTGCAGCTCACGTTCCTTGCTGTCCCACTGCTGCTGGCTGTAATCCAAGTCCGCCTTGACGGCCTCCAGGTCCGTGTTCAGCCGGAGCCCGATGTACAGGCTGGTGCTGAGCTGCGTCCTGACCCGCTCCTGCTCCAGCAGCAGCTCGCCGTCTGAACTGCTGTCGGGCTCTGGAGGTTCCTCCCGCGCCGCCAGCTCCTCTTGGCGACGCTGCATCCACCTCTGGTTGAGCTCCTCCTGGATCTCGGTGGAGAGGTGCTCCAACAACTCCTCCTGCTGGGCCCGCTGTTCCTGCAGCTGCAGCAGGTCGTCGCAGCGCCGGGCCAGCTCCTCCAGGGCGGCCGCCTGCGCCTCGCCGTCCAGGGGCGCCCCCGCCTCCTTCTCCGAGCCTGGCACCTCCTCAGGCTGCTCTCCCGGGATGCACCCGTCGAACTCGATGCCCGCCCCCACCAAGTAAGTGTCCTGCACGTAGTTGACCCCATGACGCCGCATGCGATCCAGATGCACCTTGGCCTCGTAGCGGTCGATCTCGCGGTCCAGCTCCCGCAGCCGCTGCACCTGCTGGCGGATCGTGTGGTCCTGGGAGAGCACCAGATGCACCAGCGTCTCCATGCGCTCCACCGACGCGCTCTCGGGTGGCGACGAACAGGACGAGGCGGTGGACGACGAAGTGGACGAACAGGGCGACGACGGCTGCTGCTGGCGCCGCCGGTTGAGCTTGGCCAGCTTGCGGAAGGCCTTGCGCACCACCCGCCGCTGCTTCTCCTGGGTCAGGGCCAGGCTGGGCCGCGCCGGGGCTCCCCGGGCTAGGCAGGGGCGCTCGCGGCTGAGCACGACCCGCGCCTCGGCGCTGCGGGGCCCCGAGTTGGGCAGCGACGCCTCGCTGCGCACCAGCACGAAGCGCACATTCTCCTGCTCGTCGCCCCAGGCGGCCCAGAGGCGCAAGATGCGCGTCTTGTTGGGCAGGATGCGCTCAAAGCCGCGCCACTTCTCCACGATGCAATAGCACTGCGGGGGCCCGCACAGCATGCCCTGCGGGGGCAGCGAGTCGTCGTCGTCCTCCTCGTTCTCGTCTGGGGGTTCGGCCAGCTCCCCGGAGCCCGGTGGGTCGCCCGCCAAACCCCGTCGCTGGCTGCGTCGCTGCCTCCGTCGCCGCCGGCAGCCGTCCTCCAAGAGTACCCGCACCACGTCCGAGCAAGTGGTGCGGCGGGAAAGGCCAGACACCAGCTTCTCCTCCTGGCAAATCCACACCGATATCTTCTTCTCCGAAGGATCCATGGCGCAACTGGCTCGCAAAGTGGCAGGTCCGGCCGGGTCCTGCTAGCGCGGCTGGGACAACGGCGGGCAGCCCGGATGAAAGAAGAATCCGTGATCCCTGGGGGCCTCTGGCCGTTCGCCCTCCGCTGCGCACCGGCGGCGGGGGTTGGCGCGGGCTATAGAGCCACCGCGCACGCCGGGATGCCGGGCCCCAGCGAAGACGCGCGCGCGGCTGGGACTCCAGCCTCTCTGGCTCGGCCCACCGTGCCCGAGGCCTCCGGGGTTTGCTCCTCCCCCACATGGCTCCACCCCTTCCCGTCCCCAGCGCCCAGACCTGAGGCCCCGGTCGTCGCTGCGGGCCGGGCGCGGCGCCCAGACTCGCCCCTCCCAGTCTCGCCGCGCCTCGTCTGCCCCTCGCTCTGGTTGCTGGCGGCCTTGAGTCCAACTTGCACAAGCTCTTTCGCCAGCCGGCACAAGGAAGGGACTCGGGGATCTCTCTCTGCCGCAGGGTCTGGAGTCTGTACCTCACCTGATATCAGATCAGCTTCGGGCCCCCGACTCCTCTTTTGCATCTAGAGTTGGCTAAATGCATGTTGATCTAAGTTTCTCTCTGTGTCGGGCGTCCTCAAGTGTGGCCCTGGTCCTTCGGGACAGCTGGATCTGGAAAGTATACTTTGCATAGAGGAAAACACGGAGTCAGCCAAGGGGCTGTTAGGAAGACCACTGTAATCGCGTCGCCTGACCAGTTCAGAGCTGTAAGCGCTACTTCAAAGTGGAAAGCCTTCCAGTCTTCCCGGATAGGAAGCCACCATGAGCTCCACGACCAAGTGTAGGTATAGGATGGCAGACTCCCAGTTCCCTGCAGGTCATGTCTGTGGGTCACCACAGGGCCTCGATTTCCCATAGCGTTCTTGGCAGAGAAACTCTTGATTGTAAGTGGAGTTTGGGGCTCAAACCCAAGTTGCAAGCTTTTACTTGTCCGCTTCTATAAAGAGAATCCACCATGGTCATTAATACCTTTGTGGTCTTTTATTTCTTGATATGCAGATGGAGGTCCAGAGGACATAAGAACCAAGTTTCACACCACAAGAAATCCAGGGCCATAAGCAAATGGCCTTGCTTTCTCAGCTGCTGATGAAGACCGACCTTTGTGTGCAAATCTGGCTCTTAGCTTATCCTTAGGAGCACTAATCTGACACACTCACTCTTGCTTCAAGACCTCGGATGGATCAGGTTTGCTTCTTAGATTAAAGCACTTTCTGTTGATTTCCCTGATTCATACAGTAAATATTTACTAAGATTACACTGGGCTCCAGGTCCTGCGCTGAGGTTTGATCATGAACAACAAATCACCAGCCCTGGTCTGCAAGGAGCTCTCCTTCTAGTGGAGCACACAACTGTGTAAACAATTCCGACACAGGTTCTTCCGTGTTGGGCAAGGGAGAGCACAAGGTGCTAGGGGAACCTACCCAACTGCTGCAGTGTCATGGAGCCCCATCTGGGAGTCAAGGAAGGCTTTCTGCCCAAGTCCTTAAGGACCACTGGAGTCTGCCAAAGGGAAAAGAGATGGAGCAAAGAATGGAACAGGTGGAAAGGACTGATGTGCAAAACCAAGGAATCTAGACATCATGGCAGATACTGGAGGTGTAAGGAGCTTAAGCGAAAGGACCTCTCAAGAAGGTAGACAACAGCTGAATGGGAAGGGAGCAAATCCATGTGTATGCATTTGAACTTCACCTAAAGACGGCGAGAGGCTATAGTAAGAGGGTCAAGACTGCCAACTTCCTTGCTAGGTGCGAGTTTAGGAGAAGTATTTAATCTCGTTGAGTCTCAGTTTTCTCATCTATGAAATTATGATACTAAAAAATACTCACCTTATAGAACAATGAGGATAAAATGACTGGACCTAGTAAGTCCACACTAGAAGTTTTATCAAAGGGTTGAAAACCTGGGAAGTATATTCATTTCCTATTGTTGTATAATGAATTACTACATGTTTGGTGGCTTAAAACAACTCCTTTACATTATTTTACTGTTCTGTAGGTTTCAAGTCTTGCTTGGTGTTTTAATTATTCTGTTCGTGGTGTCCCATGGTGTCCACTTCCAAATTCACTCAGGTTGTTTCTAGAATCCAATACCTTTTGGTTAGAGGACTGAAGTCCCCATTTTCTTGGTGGCTGTCAGTAGAATCTCAGTTTCTAGAATGCTTTCTTGGGTCAATTCCACCTCACCTCAGTAAGAATGTCTATAATTAAGAAATCTAATAACAACAGATGTTGGAGGGGATATGGCCAAAAGGGAACCCTACTGCACTTGTTTTAAACTTGTTCAACCACTCTGGAAAGAAGTATGGAGGTTCCTCAAAAGACTACACAAAGGATTCCCCTATGACCCAGCAATCACACTTCTGGGCATTTACCCAAATGATCACAAACAAGACCATACTAAAGCTACCAGCACAACTATGTTTATTGCAGTATTATTTTACCATAGCTAAGATATGGAACCAACCCAGATGCCCCTCAGTAGATGAATGGACCAAGAAAAAAATACATATATAAATGTAATATATATATATATATATATATATATATATGCAATGGAATTCTATGCTTCCATCAGAAAGAATGACACTGCCCCATTTGTTAGGAAATAATTTTAACAGATGAACAGTAAAGCTCAAAAGCTAGGTACAGCTCTCCCTTCTCTTTTCTAGCTCTCTGCTCTTTTCTAGCTCTTTCTCAGCTCATTCCTTCTCTTTCCCAGCTCTCTTCTCTTTCCTAGCTCTCTCTTTCCTACCTTTCCCAGATGCTCTCTTTTCTAGCTCTTTTCTAGCTCTCTTTCTCTCTCTCTTTCCCAGCTCTCTCTCTTTCCCAGCTCTCCCAGCTCTCTTTCTTAAAAAACCAAATTAAAAAAAAAAGCTAGGTACATATTACCATATAAGATGATGCTAAGGGGCTGAGAAGGTAGCTCAGTGGTAGAGTACTTGCCTTGCATGCCTGAGGCCCTGGGTTCGATTCCTCAGCACCACATAAGCAAAAAGAAAAAAGCCGGAAGTGGCACTGTGGCTCAAGTGGTAGAGCGCTAGCCTTGAGCTGAAGAGCTGAGGGACAGCGCCCAGGCCCAGAGTACAGGCCCCACGACCAGACCCAAAAGAAAAAAAAAAAGATGATGCTAAGTGAAATGAACCCCAAGATATGGACACAAGAGGTTTTTCTTTGTTGTTGTTTTCAATGCACTATGTGATTTTTTTTTGTTTCCTTTGTATGTTCTTCTCCCTCTGGTATATCCCCTGTTGTCACTATACTTGATTTGGTCCCCTGCATCTTGTATATACTTTGTCTACTTTGGTGAGGGAAAGGGGAATAAGAAAATGCTGAAACAAGGACACAGGATGACCCATTGCAACAATGATACCCACAAGAAGTGAACTTTACAAGTTTGGAGGGGGAGGGAGGGAGGAGGGGAGGGAAGGGAGTGGGTAACAATGCTTAACAAGAAGTGTACTCATGGGGCTGGGAAGATGGCTCAGTGGTAGAGTGCTTGCCTTGCATGCATGAGGCCCTGGGTTTGATTCCTCAGCACCGCATAAGCAGAAAAAGCTGGAAGTGGTGCTGTGGCTCAAGTGGTAGAGTGCTAGCCTTGAGCTGAAGAGCTGAGGGACAGCGCCCAGACCCAGAGTTCAGGCCCCTCAGCCAAAAAAAAAAAAGCCAAAGAAGTGTACTCATTGCCTTACTCATGTAGCTATAACCCCTCTGTACAGCATCTTTACAATAAAATAAAATTTTAAAAAAAGAAGAAAAAGAAAAACAAAGAAATTTCTGCCTCCATTTTGAAGCCAGTAATGTCAAATAAAATCCATCTATTCCTCCTTCATTTCAAGTTTCTCTTTTTCTACCAGTGGGAGAAAACCACTTCCGGCTTTTTCTGCTTATGTGGTGCTGAGGAATCAAATCCAGGGCCTCATGCATGCAAAGCAAGCACTCTACCACTGAGCCAGCTTCTCAGCCCCTCACTTTTGAATCTTCTGCATTAAGCACAAGACTGGAATATTGTAACTTTATCCAGTATCTGTTAAATACATAAAACAGATCAATGACTGAATCCCACATTCTAGCAACCCAACAGCTCACTACTCTGGAACCTGAACCTTAGCACATCCATACTTTTGTATGTTGTTTTCCTGCTAACTATGATCCCTCTTCAGCAACTGTAGAACTCCTCCTTGTCCTTTAAAAAACTCAGCTCAGCAGGGTGCCAGTGCCTCAAGCCTGTAATCCTAGCTACTCAGGAGGCTGAGATCTGAGGATCACAGTTCAAAGCCAGCCCAGGCAGGACAGTCTGTGAGACTCTTATCTCCAATAACCCACTCAGAAAACTGGAAGTGACACTGTGTGTCAAGTGGTAGAGCACTAGCCTTGAGCTGAAGAGCTGAGGGACAGTGCTTAAGCCCAGAGTTCAAGTCCATGACTGACAGGGGGAAAAAAAAAAAAGCTCAGCTCAAAGATTGCTCTCTCTGAAAGCCTTTCTTTTCTCTTCCAGAAAGAACTGCCTCCCTGCTTTTCTGCCTTCATCAATGCAGAAGTCTTAAGTATTGTGATGCTTTTTTATATCTGTTTAACACAACACTAATAGTCTTCAAGAGAATTAATGCATTGTCTTGCTTGTGTCTTAGTCCCAAGTGACTATTGCATCCCACAAATGGTAAGCTCTCCATCTTCCATGCTCTAGGGAACACTAAGATGCATAATTAAGATGCTCCCTAGGGACAGTTTCTTTTTAGAAGCAGACAGATACATGGAATCCCTAATGCAGGACTCTATGTGGAATTTATCCCGGGTTAATTAAAGGACAGAACAATTGATGGGTCCTGGAAAGGTTGAAGAAGGTGGAACTTCAGTAAATGGAGGAGAAAATCAAGGACATCCCTGGTGGAAGTAATTTTGTGAGGCATAATGTTAAGGTTAAGGTAAGAAACTGGGTGTGATAGCTCCTGCTTATAATCCCAGCTACTTGAGAGGCAGAGAAAGGGGGATCACAAGTTCAATGCCAGATGGACAGCATAGTGAAACCCCACCTCTAAAACAAAAGTTAAAGTAAGTATGCACACAGGCATGAACCAGTGTTCCAGAGGGTGAGTTCTAGAGATCACTATGCCAATATTTGAATACCAGCTTCTTTCCTCTCAACACTTAGCATGACTAGACCTGTGTGGAGTTTCCCCACCTAACAAGCAAGCAGTCCTTGTTGGATGTCTTCTCACTTAATTTAATTCTGACATTTATCTACCCAGAGCCAGTATCAGATCTCACAGATCAAGGGCTCAGTCTGAAAGACTGCTCCTCACCCACTTCACTGCCAATGGCAGGCCCCAGCTTTTATCTGAGCTGCTGCCTATCAACCATGCTATCAACCGTGGTTTCCACAACCCCGTCCTCAGGTATGGTTAATTTACTAACGTGGTCCCTGAAACTTGTAACACCTGCTCACTTTTACTGATTTCTTGTAAAGGATATTATAAAGGTCACAGAAAAGATGCACAGGGGAAAGTTAGGTGGGAAGAGTCCCCCTGCCCTCCTAGGAGCTTACCCTCCAGGAATCTCCCTCCCTGATTTCAGCTAGCCAGAGATCCCCAGACCTAGCCCTTTTGGGGGCGGGAGGGGGGGCGGTTCTAGAAGCTTTGTTACATCAGCTGGATTGGCAAAGTCAACTGGCCATTGCTACTCAAAGTAAGCTCAGGCCCTTTTTCTTCCCAGGAGGGAAGAAAGTTGCAGTATTCTGAGCCCAGGGCTGGTTGCTCGGGTAACCCTTCCCCCATCTTGATACATCAGAGTCTCCCTGCCTCAACGTCTCATTAGCATAAAGACAGGCATGTTTGAAAGGGATTGTGACAAAGACTGTTCAACTCTTCTGGATCTACTTCAGGAATTAAGGACAAAAGGCCAAATGTTTTAACCAAAAAAAAAAAAAAAAACCAAAACACCCTTACTGCTTTAAATCATTTAGGAAATTACATCGACGGCCGGAGCTGTGTGTGAGGAAGCGTGAATGAGACTGGGGTATGTACAGTCATGCACTGCATAATGACATTTCCATCCATGCTAGCCAGCAGTTAGCCAGGGTGGTCCTATAAAATTAAAATGCAGCTGAAAAATTCCTACCACCTCATGATGCTATGGCTGCTGTAATATCAGCACAGAACTCAGATGTTTGTGGTGCTTCTTGTGCAAGCAAACCAGCTCTGCTGCCAGCCATAAAAGTTAACACGTGCAAGTGTGTCCAGTATGTAATACTTGATCATGGTAATAAGCAACTATGTTGGATTTATGTTTGTGGCTTATGCATTTACTGTATACTTATTGTTATTTTACAGTGAACTCTTATAAAATAAAAAGATAAGCTATGAAACAGTACGCCATGTTACGCTGGCCACAGCGCCAGACATCTCTTGTTTATCACATCTCTTGATTGCATTCATTGTTTCTCCTATGCATGATTTAATCTCTTGTACATCATTTTCCAAGGCAGAAGCAATCGCTGATTATATACATTTTATACCCTCAGTGTGCAATCACTTACACCATCAGAGTTTGTGCAAGTATATGCTAATGTCTGCACAATGACAAGTCAGCTATTGCTGAATTGCTCAGAATGTACCCCTATTGATCAGCAATATAAAGGTGTATGTCATAATGCCACTGTAGCTATTTTTTCTCAGCCTTGGTTTTCTCATCTAGAAAAAGAGAATCATAATAGAATCTTCCTTAGAAGTTGCCATTATATGAAATGAAATAATGCCATTATATGAAATGAAATAATGAAATGAAATTATTGAAACGTACATCATTGAAACGTAGCTGGCTTTATCAGCAATTGAGTCTCAGCTCCAACACCATGTCCTGAACCTGGATGTGTATTCATTTGTGAACTAGAAAGAATGGGGTCCTTGACCTTGCTGAAGTCACAGTCAGGATGAGTTTGTTTAGAACCAAATTTGGTTAGATTAGTAACAGATACAGCCAAATGTGTACATGGTCCAAAGACACAAAGGTTTATTTTCCTCTCACATAATAGTCAAAGTAGATGCCCTAGTTGATAGGTGGCTTTATTCCAGTGACATAGGAGACCTGGTTTCTTCTATCTTCTGGCTCCTGAATCCCATAGACTTCATCATCTACCTCTGGCTAAGGGAAGAACAGGAGTCATCCTGTTTTTCAAGGCTTTGGCCAAGAAAGAAGTACGCATCACTTCTGCTCACATCCTATTGGCTATAATTCAGTCACATGATTGTCCTCATGGCAAAGGAGGCTGGGAAATGTAGCCTCACTCAGAAGAAGAAATAGACTTTCAGGAACAGCTAGCTATCTGCTGTAAGAATCTTATATTAAAAAATTAAAACAGGCTGAGCACCAGTGCCTCATAATATAATATAATCCTAGCTGCTCAAGAGGCTGAAATAAGAGGCCATGGTTTGCAGCCAGCTCTGGTAGGAAAATCCATGAGACTCCTATCTCCAATTAACTACCAAAAAGCCATTAAGTAGAGCCCAGAGACAACATTCGGGCCCTGGATTCAAGTCCCAGGACAAGCACACACACACACACACACACACACACACAGATTATAAATCTCATGATTTATGAGAGACATAGTGGCTAACAAACATGAAATAATGTCTATCCTTATCAGTAATCAGTAGAATTCAAATTTCAGGGAAGTAACAGATTGGCAATATTTTGAAATTGTTCATATATACCAATGTTGTCCAAGATCAGGGAGAATAGCCTCTGGAATGTCACTGCTGAAAATCAGTATGTCTATTCTAGAAACAAATAAATATCAGGTATTAAAACTGTGTATGCTCTATAGGCTCTGGAGCCCTTCAACTTTATAGGATCCACGTTAGAGAATGCGCATGCATGCAATAAGACACATGCTCAGCTCATTCTAATTGTTTGGCAAAACACAGGAAAGACTGGAAATGCTTATCAATAACAGAATAAGTAGACAGAAGATGCCCCTAACCTGGAAGGTTTCAACTAAATGAAGTAGATTTCTATGTGCATGTCACAATAAATCTCTGAGCCATAATGTCCACATTAAAAGTCATTTTATAATGATGTATATTAAACACACACACAACACAAATGCATCTACATAAAATTACTCTATTTTTTCCAGGGGCATACATATCTGTATGTGTGCACAGAGAAAAGTGTGAGCAAATATTCTACGTAAAGCAGCAACTACTACCTGGAAGAACACAGGCATTTGCAGAAGGACTGTCAGCCATTTTGTAATGATTTTACAAGAATTAGTCTTCTGTTGCTTAATTATGTATTTACAAGGTATAAGTTTTTTGTAAGTATGTCCATCTTGGGGCTTGAACTCAGGATCTGGGCACTGTCTCTGAGATTTTGTGCTCAAAGCTCTACCAGTTGAGCCATAGCTCCACTTTTGGCTTTTTGATGGCTAGCTGGAGATAAAAATTTCACAGACTTTGCTGCCTCAGCTGGCTTTGAACCATAATCCTCAAATCTCAGCCTCCTGAGTAGCTAGGATTATAGTCATGAGCCACTGGCATGTGGCAACAGAGTATAACTTTTAAAAGTGAGGGGGCTTGGGTTGTAATGGCCAGATGCTAGTTCTTTAGACCTGTCTCAGTCTCCTTTCTGTGGACCAAGCCACTAGGGTTTGGTAACCTCTGTAACTTTGGTAACCTCTGTGACTTGGTAACCTCTGTGACTTTGTTGCCTACACCCTGGAGGACTTCACACAGCCCAGGACTTTATCCCAAAGGCTTCTGAAGATGAAGATGCCCTTGGCTGAGGAGTAGCGAGGAGCATCTGCTCCCCAGAGAGTTCTTTGCCTCTCATCACTCCTTCCTTTTGAGAAGCTTTGAGAAAACAGTGAAGTTCTTTCAGGGTAGCAGAGCCCCTTGCTACATTCTTCCATGTAGGAGCTCAATTGTGGCATGTCAGTTGACCCTGTGGGTTTTGTTTTGTTTTGCTTTTAGTCATCTACCTCACATCTATGAGAGGTAAGATATAGTGCCCTTACCCATGAGGAAATTGAACCCAAGGAGAAGAGATTGGCCAGCTTCCCAGCTCCCAAAGCTCTGGGGAAGTTGGCATTTTGTCTGCAAATGCTACCTGTCCAATCTGTCAGTCATGGTTCATAGCAGCCGGAACACCTGAAACAGGAACTTCCTCCCTTAATTATGTTGAGCCATGCAAAAATGGGTCTAAATTTTACTGCATGAATAATTTCCTTGTAATTATTAGCCCCAGAAAATAATCTGGCCATTTGTGTTTACAGAAACTAATGTTTTCTCTCAAATGCATTGGAGGAATCTGGGAACTGCTAGTCCCATCCGTGAGAACCAATCCTTAACTAGACTGAGCACTGGAATGGGACAGACATGGGGCAATCAAGCACAGAACTCCTTAAAATCAAGTCAGAAGGTCACCTGTCCAGAATAATATGGTGATCATTAAACTGAGTATTTCTAGGTCCTTGTAAATCAGAACCCTTGGGCAGATGCCTAGGAATCTGCATTTAAAACAATCTTCCCTGGTGATTCTTATGGGCCCTAAAGGTTAATCCTAATTATATGGGGAGGAAAGAAAAGAGACAAGAATTCTACCAGTAAGAATGCTCTTTAGGGCATGATGCAATAGCTCACAACTGTAATCTCAGTGACTCAGGAGGTGATGATCAGGTAGACTGTAGTTTGAAGCCAGCCTTGGACAAAGCGAAACTCCATCTCAATTAATAAACCAGATGTGTTGGCATGAGCCTGTAATTCCAGTTAGGCAGGAAACTGTAGATAGAAGGATTTATGTCTGAGGCCAATCCCAGGCAAAAACATAAGACCATACCTGAAAAGCAAAAGAAGCTAGGCTGAGGAGGGGGGACAAAGGGGTCTGGAGAGAGAGAGAGAGAGAGAGAGGGAGAGGGAGAGGGAGGGGGGGGGAATACTCTTTAGTCATCTTGGCCCCGTAAATGGCAATGCTGTATATTCATCATATGCATGCCCAAAAGGGTAGTGATAATACAGAACAGGTCCGAAAGACTGACCCTGGGAGTGAAAGAGAAAAGGAAGGAAAGACAGGACAGAATAGGGGAGGAGCGCCACATTCATTATCCTCTCTGGAATCTTGAGCGGTTTTGTCAGAGCACAGGTTACAAGGTGATAACATGGAAATGCTTGAGTGAGAGGGTCTAAAGTAGCAGTGACTTTGGTCCTCTGAAAAACATTCCAGAGGATGGTTAGCATTCTTAGTCTTCGTTCCAACCAAAGCAGCCTAGGTTTGATTCTCAAATTGTATAAAGCAGTCAAGAGAGAAGTCCCTGTATTCAATGTCCATAACATGACCATTGAGGGCTATGTCAAAGGGGTTTTTTGTCTGATTAGTTTTCATTATCTGTTGTTACCCAATTAATGAAAGGTGATACGATTAATGAGTGTGTGAACGAGACAGTGTCTTCATTGCCACATTTGAACCATTCCCAGCCTTTTTGGGGGTATAATAGTCCTGACCCAAGACTAGTGGCCTTTCTTCATTGTAGAGAAATACTACCCTTGCACCGAGTGCCCCCACACCAAATTATTGTGTGCCAGCTGTTTGCCACTCAGAACACAATATGAGGCCTGTGCTGGAGTTACTGCTATTTTATATATGCAGAATGCTAGTTTGCTTTCTCCAGCATAGTTGACTATATTGAGAGAAGTTGATTTGAAAGGGGGATTGTTTTCATTGCTGGTATAAACTGCAAGAACTGGACAAGCCCCTGTAAGAAATACTGTTTAGGAGAACTTAAACTTGACTAAGTGGAAACTTGGATGTAAATAACGTTCAAACACTGAAACCATATTCCAGGATGTTCTGATTTTCCTCTACTACAGAAGAAATAGAGACATTTGTTGATTGTCGGATTGCCCTTCCATCCATCCGAGTAGGAAAGGAAGACTGCCGGCTAGATAAGAAAAATAGGTTACACCTGGCATCCCAGCAGTCCTTCCTGGCTGGCTGAAGGTCCTCTTTGTTCCCTTCCTGAAGCACGGTGTTATTTTCTTGGGGCTGATGCTCTCACTTAAACCTGGTTAAACTATGGATCCCTTACTCTGATTTTGTGATTATGAGATCTATACAAATGCAAACCTAGAACACAATCAGACCCTTAGTAGCTTAAATCTCTCTGAATAGGAAAGAAGTTACTTGATCTTCAGTGGGTTTTGCCTGCTGGCTTTCTCTTTTGTAACTATTGTTAAGTGATGCTGATGATGAAATCATTGAATAATAAGTCCATTTTTTTTTGCTACTTGAGAATATACATTTAAGAATTTTACAAGACCATACTGGACCCTAAAAAGTACTACATATGGTTCAATAATTCTTCTTTTAAATAGGCTTGTTTTAAAAAAAAAAAGTCATTGGAGCTGGAGATTTAGGTCAGTGGTACAGCTCTTACCTAGAAGGCATGAGGCCTTGGATTCTATCCCCAGCAAACAAGCAAACCAATGAGCAAATGAACAAGTTATTTTCATACCCATGTTCCTAAAAGCATGATCTGTAATAGCTGAGGTGGGAGCAACGCAGGTGTACACTGAAGTATGATTAAATAATGTGGCACTCACACAGACAATGGACTGTTGTTCAGCCTTTAAAAGCAAGGAAATGCTGACACATACTTGATACATGGATGAACCTTGAGAATATCATGCCAAGCATAACAAGCCATTTACAAAAAAGACAAAAGCCTGTATGACTTATATAATGACTTACATAATTGCCTGAAATAGTCACAGAGACAGCGAGGTGAATGGTGCTTACCGAAGGCAGAGGAGAGGAAGGAATCAAGAATTATCAATTAAGTAGGGAGTTTCACTTTCCTAAGTCCAAAAGGGTTCAGGAGCTGTATGGTCATAATGTTTGTTTAACAAGTAAACACACTTCATACCACTGAACTGCACATTTAAAAGTGGTTAAGATGGTTTTATGTTGTGCATATTTTACCACTACTTAAAATAAGATTTTTAAAAAAAGTATTTCAGGTTTTATGCCATATTTCCTACTAAGGGAATAAGACTTTTTCAAGGGTATATAAGATGCTTTCTACATTAACTTCAAAGCAAACGCTGAAATAAGGATACTGGATCCAAAGGGTGCCATCCTGGCCACATGGTGGATGATAGGGAATTGGGTTTAACTGGTGCCATCTTGTCTTCATGGTAGAGACAGGAAAATTCCACCCTCACATGATAGGTGTGCCTGAATTCCTAGAGGGAGGGGTGGGGAATTGGATAATAGGTTAATGGACCTGTCATTCCTGATCTTTGAACTTGCAAGGCTCTCAAGTTTCCTGTGACCTTGTCCCCGGCACTGACCCTATTTAGGCCTGGGCCAGCTCAGGCACCATTATGTTATGGCTTGTGTCTCCGGTCTCGTAGCTCTCCACCAATCATTATGGCATCCCACTCCAGCTCTTCATTAGAGTGGATCTGGTTTGTTGGTGGTGTTTTTCTGCTCTTTCCTTCCTCTCTTGCTCTCATGGCTCAATTTTCTAACACTGTTAATGTTAGGTTTTTAAAAAGAGGTAGCTGAGTAAGAACAGCACCAGCACGCACGTGGTATTTTTACCCCTGGCGCTCACCCGCTTACGTGTTTCTCCCCGCAGCCCTACTTTCCTCAGCCCCTTTGAGTTAATGTATGGAAGACCTTTTCTCCTAGGTAATTTCCCTACTGACAATACCAAGACTACACTAATAGACTACCTTCCTGTCCTAACCTTTCTTAGGCACATGCTGCGCCAACATGCTGACCAGTGTCTCCCTCAGCCTCATCAAGGCCCCTTTCCTACTCCCCCAATTTTGCCTGGTGATCAAGTGTTTCTCAAGACCCTTAATCCATCTGGTTTACACCCTAAGTGGACAGGCCCTCACCAGGTTCTGCTGACAACCCCCACAGCAGTCAAGCTCAAGGGACAGCCCCAGTGGATTCACCTGTCAAGAATAAAAAGGGCTCCTGCTCCTGCCTCTATACCAGCACTGACCTCCAGGTACACCTGTTCCCCCCTTGGGCCTACCAAGGTAAGGCTGTCTCGCATCCCTGAAGATCCGGGTGAGTAACACTCAGCTAACTGCTCTCCTCCCCAAAGACCTCACTACCTCATCCCTTAGGTCACCTCCAAGCCATGGACATCCAATCTTTTCTTTCCAGTAATATATTTGCTTTTCATCTTTGTTCAGCCCCCTGCCTGGGAAGACTTCCTCCAGACTTCATCTAAGAGACTCGCTTCTTGCAGACATGATGGAACTGGCAGACCTGGAAGCAGACACCTTCTCCTACTAGGCCACCCCTCTTCCCCCCCCCCCTTTCCTTTTTCAGCCATGCTTCTCCACCATGCTGGGTGGGGGCAGCAGTTCAGTCAAATTAACTTCTTTTGCTGCCTGAATAGTGCATGGTGTTCTTTTCATCAGCTAATTTCCTAACCACCCCTTTTTTGTGAACTGAACTTCCTTGACACCATGCGAGATTTTTCACCAATACCATTTCTGCCCTTCACATCCACGTCCACACCACTTCTCTACTCTGGTGAGTGAAACTACTCTACGGCTCTCTGTTGCTCAGTCTCTGTCCATATGTGGTGCCACGCCAGAGAGCTCCTACGGCCTTTAGCTGAAAGGCCGGTCACCTCTGAAGCCGAGGACGCTTGGCTTTGGGGGCTTGGCCATTTCTCTCTAGAGGGCTCTGGGGGAAGTCGGGACGCAGCTTCTGCCTGGTCAGCTCTCCTTCACTCACCAGACTGACTCTACAACTTTTTGGCTTGTGCCCTGAAGAGTGCGACGCAGGCTGGGTCCCGGGGACCCCCCCTCTAGGTTCCCTCTCAAAGGCTAGCCATTCTAGGTTTAAAAATTGTCAGAGTTTCCATTTGTTCAGGTTTCCGTCAATGCCTCATGAAACTTCTCCAGACTTCGTCCAAGAGACTTGCCTCCTCCAGACTTCATCGAAGGACTCAACACCCAAGTGACAGCTGCAGCCTGCTGCCTTCTCCCAGAGTGGACCACATCTCAGCCTTTTACCCCTATGATGCCCCTTGCCAGCAGGAAGTAGCCAGAGAGAATCTTTGCCCTTTTTCATAATTATCAAAAGGCTGGAATGTAAGGTCCATTCCTGGACAGCGAACAGACCTCGCCCAGTACCTACGTTACCTAGGCAACTGGGACACCTGGAAGAGGTCACATCCGCATCCACTGAGGTCACATCTTAACCTGATGTAGCCACACCTTTCTCCCACCTGATCCCACTTCCCCTTACCTGGACACACCCTTCCCCACCCCCTACCCTATATAAGGCCTAAACAGGGGCCAGACTTTCCTTTTCCTTGGCCAGCCGCGTGGAGTGCCAACCTTGCCTGGTCCCAGCAGGTCTACTGAATAAACCTACCCCTTACCTGAATACCACGTGAGTGGTGCAGTTCTTACTTGGCTACCTCTTTTTAAAAACCTAACAGTTAAGTGTATTTGAGGGGCTGCAGGACTTTACAACAAGAGTCCACCTGTGGTTACAGGCTCTCCAATAAAGGCTCCCAATTCCACCTCTCCAAATGTGGCTTCTCTGTTTCTCGAGACTGAGTTCCTGTACAACGCAATAGTTTGTTTACTTTGGTAGGCCTCTCAGGAATCCAAATTTCTAATCATTGACCATTGAAAGAAAGCATTTGTGGTACTTCTTTCATGTCCTTTCTCCCAGCTCTGTGTTTAGTTATTTCTGCTGTTAATGACTTTATTACTGTATTCTTTATCCGAAATTTAGGGCAAATAGTTATAAGTTCTGTTAAACCTGAAAAATGATAGCTGAGTATGGTAAGTCTTTACCATAAGGAGTCTGTAGGTCTTTAAGTTGACATGGCATTTCCTGGGACATGGTCCTGGGACTTCAACTCAAGGCCTGGATGCTGTCCCTGCAAGCTTAAAACAAAGATGATTAGACTTTGTCAGAGAACCACACAGACATCCAGGTACAGAGAACAAAGAAAGGTTTATTGCTGGGAAGGGGAGCTAGCAAGACTCCTTCTCACAAGGAAGAAGTGAAAAGAAGCACCCACTATCATCTGAGGTGACCTATATAACCTAGTGGGGTTAGGAGTCTAGAAGGGGCTAGGAGACAGAGCCCCTGGTGTGGACATGTGGGCCAGGGGCTTCATCATGGAGGACTAGGATTTATGGCTGCTGTCCAAATAGTAGATAAGGGTCCTGCAACTAACTGCCCAGACCTGAAGGTCACTCTAAGGGGTTGCCTTAGATGGTGGTAGCTGCCCCAGAGAAGTGCCATGCCTAGGTAAAAGGGGGTTGGAGGCTGATTATTTATTGCCTTTACTATATGGACCTAGTGTTGCCTAGGAAGGGAGCAGGCTAAGCTGTGGAGAAGGGAAGGAGTGGACTAAGCTATGGGAAGAGAGCTTATTTTGCTAACATTCCCAACTCTTTGGTTTTATAAATGATGGGAGACACCCTGTTGGGATTATGGATGAAGGTATCTTCTGGAGCTGCTTCCTGCTGAGAAGGGATGAAGTAGTCAGAGAGGACACCTGACCAGGTACCCTCCCAGGAGCATTTGGTTGACAGACTGATTGGTGAAAGGTCTCATCTTCCCCACAAGGATGTTCTGCCTGTACCTAGCAAGCAAGGCATCACCAAAATAAGGCAAAAAATTGCAGTTAAGGGACCCAAGATAGGCAGGAGTAGTTAAAAGTATAACTTTTACAGGTAAAAAAACCAGCCATTAGGCAAGAAGCCATGGCCCTCCGCACAGAAAATACGTGCTTGGTTGGCACAAGTAAAGTTGCCCCTCTTTAATTCTATATAGCCACAAGTGTCATTTTGGACCTGGGCAGAGGTTATTTTCGAGCATTATAACCCAGGGTGGCATATCACATCAGGTCATCTGCCAGTCTCTCATGTGAAGGCCTTCCCCAGTTATAGGAGCCAGCATAGATGGTATTTATATCTACCACAGGTTTACACACTGGAAGCAAGCAGGACACCAGCACAAATCCCATCTCCAATTCCTGCCTCAGACAAAAATTAGAGGTGTTAGTTATTTGGGATAGGCAAAACCAGATGTCATATTGCATGTGGTCCTACAAGAATTCTGAGGAGAAGGATCCTTCATATTGGTATTTTAGGTTTCTTGGGCTACAGCAGTATAGCCTGTTTAGCACTCTGGTTTGTAAAAACATTTTTCTGGCTGGCAAAGAAAAGCTGATCTCTAATAACCCTAACAGTGCCTACCTACGTAGGCCTTTAGACAGATCTCAATAGGGACATAATCTCAGGTCCACAAACTTTTTTCTTTAACTGATGAATTTATGTGGTTGGTGTTAGCCTAAAAGTCACTGCCACTTAGGACATTGAGCAGATACAGGGGGTTTGAGATTTAAACTATCCCCCACAGTTTACAACCTTAGCTTTTTATTACCCTTGATCACAGATGATTGGCAAGTTCCTACCCAGAAGTAGACAGACATGGCCATTAGAAAGTCATGCTTACAATCTACTTTCCTATGACCTCCCAGCTCTGATCAATTTTTGAAGGGCCAAACACAAATGACTCCACGATCTGACATCATTTCTGCCATCCAGACAGTGGCTTGTAATGCCTCTGGATGCTCCATCATTGCCAGGGTGCCAGGAGTGCCTTTCTCCAAGCTGGGATAAATGCACCTCTGGCATTTTCCTTGGTCGGTCACTGGACTTGAACTCAGGGTTTAAGCACTGTCCCTTAGCTCTCCAGCTCAGGGGTAGCACTCTACCACATTGAGCTCCAAAGCAACTCTGCTTTTCAGCACTTGGCTGGCAGATGACAGAGATGACAGTTTCACAGGGACCTTTCCTTGCCCAGGCTGGCTTCGAACCATAGTTCTCAGATCAATGAGTCTTTACAAAAGGCCACTGTACTCCAATTAAAGCAAAAAAGATGGTCATTGAAAGTAGTTTTATAAGCATAGTCTTACTTGGAACTTATTAAGGGCCAAAGTTACATCTGACAAATTTGTAAAACTCCTCTGTCCTTCCCTATGGGGCTGTTAGAAACTGTTACAAGAAAACTATAAGGGCAAACTATAATAGCCATTAAACAATTATTTTGGTAGTCCTAATTTATCTTTTTCTGCTCTGAAACATTTACTTTTTAATTTTTTTTCTCAAGGAAGCCAGCCACTCTACTTCTCATATTTTTTCAAAGGGGATGCCATTTTTTTATACCTTTTCCCAAAGTCACTTTAATCTACATTTAGATACCCTTTTGAAACACTGGACAATTTCTGTAGTCTGAATTACCTTTAGGAAATTAGCAGTTTTTCTTAATGCAATAATTACAAGAACTAGCACTGTACCAAGAACTTAGACTTAGCATCTTTTTCTTTTTAGAGATACATTTAATTGCAAAGTAGCACAGAAATCAAATCAAATCGTTGTTCATACACCACTTATGGTCTGACTTGTGGGGATTAACATTCCCAATAGGTGGAAGGAAACACAAGCAAATCAGGATGATGTTAAAATTCACTAACAGTCCCTGATCTTTTTTTTTTTTCTCAAGGCTGGCACTGTACCACTTGAGCCACAGCTCTACTTCCAGCTATTTTGGTGGATAATTGGAAACTGGAGGCAAGAGTATATCATGAACTTTCCTGCCCAAGATGGCTTCAAATCAGGATCCTCCTATCTCAGCTTCCTGAGTAGATAAGATTATAGGTGTGAGCCACTGGTACTCAGGTACATGGCATGTTTTTATCTTCATAAGATTAATAATGCATCTAAGTCACAAAGATATACATGGAATCAAGAGCACAGACCTGGAAACACAGACAGGAACTCATGGGGTCTAGTAGATACTTGCTTGTTGAACAATCGCAAATAGCCAGATAAAGCTGAAGAGATCCTCCTCATCTCTTGTCTATGGGAGCACTAGGTTTCTTAGCAAATATCACAGGAATGGCAGAAGACAACACTAAACACTGATTTCTAAGTCACCTAGTGTATCTACATTGCATACCTCATATCCATCTACTCTTGTGTTATTTAACTACGTGAGTGCATTCTGAGAATCCTCCAAAGGCAATTCCATCTTCATGCCAACATTGCAGAGTATATTTGCGCTAAACTGTATGGCATAAGCTAGTCACTTGGTGTGACAACTTGGTCCAATCAAGAGATAAGATACGCATGAGGTACTTGCGGCTGCTTAACATAGCAAACTGTTTTATAGTCTACTTTTTTTTAAATTTTCTTATAGACATGCTGTACAGAGAGGTTACAGTTACATCAGTAAGGTACTTTCTATAAGTAGGAGTGTAACAGGGCCTTAACAAGTTGTTTTTGCTTAGAAACACTGACTCCTTTCTAGGATCCAAAAATTAACTAAAAGAAGGATAATAGCTAGATATCTCTGCCTCCATTTTGTAGCTATGCCTTTTGCCCTGAGTCATTCTTTTCTGTAGTCATTTTATAGCCATCTTAGAAGCCAGGATAGAACAGACAAGAGACCAAAGTGCCTGAGGTATCAGTGACTCTTATTGTAACAAGGCCCCCTGATACTCCTGAGGTAATGGATTGTCAGGCCATCTGACCCCACCTCTAACCAGCTATGAACATGCCTGTGACTGAAGGGGACTAACTATGTATCCTTCCCTCCTCTACCTCAATCCTTTGTCTATTTATAGCTCATGTCTCTACCATTAAAGATGAACTGAAATGCTGTCTCCTTATGGCTGTTCATGCCACATAATAAACCTCCTTCTTCTACCCTTCATCATGCCTTTTTATTTGCTATATGAGACAAGTGAGTGAACTTGACATGTGGAAGTCTCGGAGTTTGGGCAGGGTTTTAGGAGTACACTTTAAAAGAGTAATGGAAAGAATCACATAGTAAACACATAAACCAAGGACACAGTCATTTACTATCATTACCTAGGCTTGTATATAACTGCTCACGTTATACTGGCAGTGCCAGTTTATACCAACATCACCTGAATAAGAAGTTGCTAAGACATATCACTAGGAAATTTTTTCAGCTCCTTTAAAATCTTATGGAATCATTACTTTATACACAGACTATCATTGACCAAAGCACATGGTACAACTCTATTGGATTTCTATGTAACTACCCCCCACCAGCCCCAAAATGTTCAAATCCACCACCAAGAAAATGTGTTGCTTGACTCTGCACCTGCTTTCTCTCCTTCACAATTTCCAACAGTCTTAATTCCATAGGGGAATCCAGCCACTGATGAGGAGGCCAAATAGCAAAGGACCTTGCACCATATGACCTAGGCCAACCAATCATTGCATTCATCTCCTGGCCCAGTGATTGGTTCAGGCCTAGGCATGTAACCTAAGAAGGTGTGGTTACAGCAAATTATTGAACTCCTGCTGATAATATTGGCACACAAATTTTCTCCTTTACATGTCTGAGGACACATAGCCCCAGGGAACAGAACAACTAGAAACCATTCCACAACCAGAAGGTTCTGCAAAGTCTGCCTAAGAAAGACCACATCCAGGAAGCAGAGCCAAGAAACAGCAAGTGGTATATTGCTTCTGGTAAATTGTTTGAGCTGGTCCTGAAACTTCTAAGTCTTTGTGGATTTTTCAGTTACATGAGCCAATAATTCCTTCTATTATTAAAACCACTATGAGCCAGATTTTCTGTTAGTTACCTTTTCCCCCCTTTGGTGCCAGTACTGAGGCTTGAACTCAGCTCTCCCTTACTGTTTTTGTTCAGAGCTAGCATTCTACTACTTGAGACACAGCTCCACTTTTAGCTTTCTGCTTGTTAACTGGAGATAAGGGTCCCACAGACTTTCTTGCTTAGTCTGGCTTTGAAGAACAAGTGAATCTCAGATCCCAGTCTCCTAAGTAGCTAAGATTACAGGTGTGAACCACTGGCACCTGGCAGATTTTCTGTTATTTAGAACCGTGTGCTAACTGATTCACCATCCATTCCCATCCATGCCCCTTTGATTCTTATAGGTGAGGAAAGGATTTCTCGAGGAGGCTACCCCATTAGTTGAGAGGATTAGGCTTTCCAGGCCCTCATTTTTTTTCTTTCTGCTATCCCAGCATATTTGGGATGATTTGGCAACAGTGAATACAATTAAATTCTCCTTATTACTAGACATTCATCAAATGTGCTCTGAAATCCCTAAACTAATTTCCCTAGTGTTTTACTTCTGGCAGCCAATCCCTTTGCTTTACAGCAGCTTCATTAGGGCCTTCATGATTCACTGGAAAAAAGAGAGACCACATATGGGAGAAGGTGTGAGGACTGCACTCCAGGAATGCTGGTTTGCCAGCAAGTTATGCTCAACAGTGCATGGTGTTCTGCTGGCTCTTTCTAAGCTTTCCCTGCCCTTTTCTTACTTGGTCATCACCCATCATTACAACTTCTCTTTTATATTTCAGTAGAGCAGTCTCACCACCCTGTCATCCTGACCTTTGAGGCCTCCATTTCCAGCTAGAATTGTGACTTTTTTTTTCTATTTTTTTTGGGGGGGGGAAGGGGGGAGGGACAGGAAAGGGTCCTGGGCTTGATCTTTGGACCTGGGCACTGTCTCTGAACTTTTGGACTCAAGGCTAGTGCTCTACCACTTGGGCTATAGCTCTACTTCTGGTTTTGGTTTTTTTTGTTGTTGTTGTTTTTGATGGTTAGCTGGAGATAAGAGTCTCACAGACTTTCCTCTCCTGGCTGGCTTTGAACCATTATCTTCAGATCTCAGCCTCCTGAGCAGTTAGAGTTTTAGATGAGAGCCACCAGTCACTGGTGGCTCTCTAACAATAGGCTGACCTATCCCATCCTTATATTACTTTAAAAAACACTCATCAACTCTCCCGGGAAATGCCCCCTCAAAGGGAAGAGCAAGAAGCCATTTTTACTGTATTAGGGAAGGGATTGGGTGCTTTACAGATATTTTCCCTTTTAATTCTCAAAACCAAATGGTGCAAAACAAACAAACAAAAAAAGGGGGGCTGGGAAGGTGGCTCAGTGGTAGAGTGCTTGCCTTGCATGCATGGGGCCCTGGGTTCAATTCCTCAGCACCACATAAGCAGAAAAAGCCAGAAGTGGCACTGTGGCCCAAGTGGTAGAGCACTAGCCTTGAGCTGAAAGAGCTGAGGGACAGCGCCTGGGCCCAGAGCTCAGGCCCATGACCAACAAAAAAAAAAAAAAAAATGGTGGAAGGAGGGAGTTATGTTCTAGTCCACACATGAAGAAGCTGAGTTTATGAAGGTGGAGGGTTTCCATTCAAACCTCCATGTGTATGATTCCAAAGGAACTTTGTTCCATTGCTTGGATT